TTAATTTAACACCGAGTTCATTTTTACTGGGTGTCTGCTAAGGACATAGCATCGTGGGTGAAAAACGAACACACTAAAGAAAAACGAACACACTAAAGAAAAACGAACCAAAGAGCAAAGAATCTTAGAAATGATCTACTCTGGCTTCTACAACTTCTGCCATCAAGCAGCTAATTACCTGCTTGGGAAAACAACACACACACAAACCGATAAATTAAATGACAACCTGAAACAACATATGATTTAGGGTCACAGGGAGGCAATATTACTGTAGGCTGGAGGTTGAAAGAGTTCACAGAAGAGTTAAGTTGGGGTAAACATCATGATCAAAATCATGGCAGTGGAATTGTACAGGTGTTAGGGTGACGGTGAGCACAGAAACGTACCTGGCCAGAAAAGAAGTTAAGAAAAATGGTTTTGGAGTCAGACAAACCTGGGTCTGAATCCTGGCTCTGTCACTAAGTAGCCTTATGATCTTAAGGAAGACACTAAACCTCTGATTTTAAACCTCATCTGGAAAATGGGATAGTAATGCAATCACTGGACTAGTGTAAGGACTACACAAGGTATGATATCTAAAGTGCTTGTTGCAGTGCTTGACCCTTAGTAGGTACTGAATGGGTTTTGCCATAGGAGTAACGGGAGACAAGGCTAGAAAGGGAAGACGGCATCAGTTTGTGGAGGGCCTTACATGCTAGGTTAAAGAATATGTTCTTTACACTTATATACTTGTTAGTGATTTTTACATTTTGTATTCTTACTTTATCAAAGAGCATTACACCCCTTTTCATAAAGATGTACATGGGATACTTCAAAAAGTTTGTGGAATAAAGGAATTGAAAGATACTATAAATTCTTCCATGAACTTTTTGAAGATCCCTCATATATTTACCAGCATTCTGTTACTATGCATAGATACTTCAAAAAGTTTGTGGAATAAAGGAATTGAAAGATACTATGAATTCTTCCATGAACTTTTTGAAGATCCCTCATATATTTACCAGCATTCTGTTACTATGCATATCATTTATGGCATATTTTAAAAATAAATACTTGAAGAAGACTTATTATGGGTAAATTGTATTTCAATGGTGCAACAGCACTTATTGTGTTGTGTGTGCATGTGTGTATGTGTGTGTGTACTCAAGAGAAACAGAATTCAAGATTACTGAGGAACATGCCCCACAATCACAGGTGAGTAAGGCAGATAACCCAGTTTATGGCCAGTAGGGTCTGAAGCAATTCACAACAAATTCACGCTCACAGATAAACGTGAGGTTTGAATGAGAGTACTTTACTAGTAAATGTTAGCTTCCTTTCTACCTGAACCACTGCATCCTACCATGACACATGTGCCATCAGTTGCAAAGGACAGCTGTAGCTAAATGGACACTCGTTAAAGGCTCTGAGCAGGCTGAAGATGAAATAAAATCACTGTTCCAAGAACATAAAGGTGTAGTAGTGTGGGAAGCCTGGAAGTGGAGAGACGAGTAAGGATACAGTTGCAATAACCCAGGTCTGAGGCAGAAGGAGGTTATACAAGAAAGCTTAATAAAAAGACATTATTTACAATCATCTCACATCCTCTCTTGTTTACCAATGTCCATAATCATGTTAACGCTTCAGCTACCAGGTCTATTTTTCTTGAACCAGTTTAGTAATAGAAAATGCTCTAAGGATAAAATTTCAAAGTTGAGTTAAAATAATCACTGTAATTTTTCATCTACCAACTTTTAGCTTACAAACTGTGCACCATTCATAGAAATTTTAAATATATATTTTGCAATATTAATACGTGTTCGTTTTACCAAAATTAGAACATAAAGTTAAATAAAAAGTGTAACAAACAAATATATAATCCTACCTCCCAGAGGTTAATCTGTTTTCTATCTAAACAGATGTCTTGCTTTATTCATAGAAATTTTTAAATATCTGAGACCAATTTCTGCTTTTCATTTAGGATGCTTCTGCTCAGGAACCTACATTTGTCATCTATTAGCTTTTATTAAGAAGATTAAGAAATGGTAGGAAGAGAGATAGAACTAATCTCTACTGAGAATCTACGGCATGACAGGTAATTTCACCAATATTACTTGTTTTAAACTTCGAAACAATTCTATGAGGTTGATGTTATTTTAAGATGAGGAAACCAGGGCTCAAGAAGTAAATTATGTGCTCAAATAGGTGGTGAAGTCAAGATTCAGACTGAGGGCTGTAAAATTCCAAAACCATGTGTTTTATATAAATCATCAATAGAACCTTTGCTTTTTATTAAAACAAAAATATTATTTTAAATTGCTAAGGTTTAAATTTATTTATCTATTTCATATGAAATCAGATATGTCAACTCACTGAACACAACAGAAAAT